AAATAAGTAATCAGTAAAGTAACGGGATTACTTTTTTGGGGAAGTAATCAGTAATTAGTTACTGATTACTTTTTTCAAGTAACTTGACCAACACTGGTTATGGCTGCATGACAATGACCAAGAACATACTGCAAAGGCCACAAAGGAGCCACTAAAGCACATTAAGGTCATAGAGCAGTTTCAAGACCTCGGTCCTGATGAAAATATCTTTGGAGGGAGCTTAAGAAGAAGCATCTGAGAAACCAAAAGCATTTGGAGTTTGTGTAGAGAGCAGGAAGCCAAACCTTCGTACAAACCCATTGACCACCAACGAGAAACGTTTCACCCTCTGGTTGATATTCTCTCTCTCCATTAAAGTGAAACAGTGTCAAATATAAAGTAAAACCTTGTTTCACTTTATATTTCTCACATTTCGCGAGCTGAGTGTACAGTATTGCAATTTTTATAATCTGTCTCCAGCAAATATTTATTTACATTATAATGAAAATAAGAAAAATCAAAAACTTTGATTTAAAAGCTGCTATTTTTCAACATCAAACAGGATTTCACTCATTTGTCCGATCATTCAATCTGCCCACATAACACTTGTTCCTGTGACCTTTCGTGTTTCCATTAATGCTCCCGTTTCTATTATTTCATATTTGGAAAAGCTGTACTTACAGAGCGACAGCAGGAGCGATGTTCTCGGCATTGTTTCACATCTTTATTTGCGCATTTATTTCAGTTACACACACCCCACAAACAGTGTCCTACTTCTGTGTAAGTGTCTGTGGTTTTCTGTCAGCTGTAAAGGAAAAAGGAAAAACATCTGACGTGGCTCCGTTTCTCAGCACAGAGACCACCCGAACGCGTGACGAACTGAGAGTGAAACCAAACTACAAACTGCTTTGGTCTGGTCTGGTTTTGAATGAAACTCTGCCCTCATAAAGAACTCTTACTCTACTCTTACTTACATGTTAACTTTACTTTCAGAGCATCTTTCAACAGCTGAAAACATATAAGAATACAACACTGAATAAAATAATCGTGTGACATAATCACACTCTGTCAGCACTTCCTGTGCATTTCCTCTGAAGCTTTGAGTCTGTGCTGGTAAGCCAGACGTTAGGAGCCATTCACACCACAGACTGCGGCATGTTTGCTGTATGAATGTGTTAAACTGCCAGCCCGGGCCTCTCAAATACATTTTTTCCTTCATCTGTGCATCTTCTCTTCAGAAATCTGTAAAACATCTCAAGTTGAGAACCTGTAAGTCTGTTGCTTGCTTCAGATCAGTCTTAGAGGATTTAGATATCAGCTGGAAACAAAACTGGAGATGGATTATAAATCTAAGATGAAGCTAACGTATATGTGCAAAGTGAGAATCAATGTGACATTGCCAAGTCAGAAAGTATGTGCGCCTTCTTGTCAGCTCAAACAAAAAGGCTCGTTGGTGGCTTGACGTCATATAAAGATCATGACATACTGACTGCGAATCAAACCAAGATGCAGAGCTGAATGTGAGACCTTCTCAAAGCAGAATGTAAAATCACGCGTGAAGTACAAAAAGTCTGACAACATGAAGGTGTTTTGTCTCAGCACACATCCTCTCATGACCACTAGTGTGTGACTTTACACACCTACATATTGTATTATTGATGCCCCGCTAATACTGGGCTGGCCCCAGTTCAACAGGGTACTGTAAACATTCCTCTGAGATTTTGGTCCATATTGACATGATGACATCACACATTTGCTGCAGATTTATTGGCTGCACATCCCCTGTGTTCCACCACATCCCAATTAGATTAAAATCGGAGGTGATTTGAGTACAC